GCTGCACGCTTCTGGAATCTAGATTCCAATCATATGGCAGGTGGGTTGGAAACACCAGGCCTGCATGTCAGGGGCTGGGGCACCAGGCTACCCTGGCGCGCTGTCAGGCCAACTGCTGGACTGCTGCTCGGCGTCGCTGCAGATCTCCCCTGCTGGCAGCTCATGCTCCAGGCTCCTGGCTGGGACCTGCCTCTTGCCCTGCGTCCTTTTAGGCAGGTAGGCAGGCAGGAAGGCACAACTGGGGATAGTTGAGCAACGTGGAGCTGCTGTGACCACAGCTGGTGCCAACAGCCTGGCACACAGGCCGCCCTTCCCCCTCCTCTTCTCTGAGTGCCACAAAAAAGGTTGCAGCTCCCTCAAATACATGATTCGTGGCTTCTAGGACAGTTTGCTCCTTCAGTTACTAAGTCTTCCCCCCCCCCCAACTCTGATTTAAAATTTAATTATTCCTGTGCTTCTATGGAGAACAAGATAGTTCCATCACATGTTTTCCCTGAGGACAATAGTACGCATTCTCATAGACACACTTTTAAGACACATCAAAGTGCCTCTAAATGTGGGAAAAGAGGAACGAGTTCAGAATAAAGAGAAAATATTTACTATTAATAGCAGTTAACTCTCTGATTATTTGCAAGAAGCATTTATTAGCAAGGCAAAGGTGTCCCGAAGGTTGTGTTTATGAACAACACATGCACTAACACACACAGACACACACACATTCTCTTTTCTTACTGGGAATCTTTATTCAAACAATTTTAAAATTGTTTAAAATTGACAAACCATTTTAAAATTCAGGTGATAGAGAAAGCCTAATGTGCACCAAATAAATAGATTCTGCTCTTTTGCTCCTTCAAAAGCCGAGCGTCACCCCAATTTTTCTTCCCCATCTAGCCTCATCTAGATTCCCAGCTGGGGGAGCCCATGACCTAATTCTGCTCTCTTCTAAGGCAACACGGGAGCAAGTTCAGCAAGTTCAAGTTCAGGTATTGGCCTTGGCGGGATTGCAGAACCCCAAAGTCGTTATCCTCCTCCAGAGGTAATCCTGTAATCAGCGCTAACACCACTCACCAGCCCTTCTATCAGCTTGTAGGAGAAACAAATTTACCTCCTGTCAAGCAGTGGCCTGAAAAGTTTAATCCAGTTTTCGTGTTCAAGGTCAGAGTGGGTACAACGCTATCTGTTGTGGCCTAAGAGAAAAGGAAAGTTGCTTGCCCTAAGTATTAGGTTTCTGTTTTGGTCCCCGTCCCACTCCCCCTACCCTCTTGGTCCCTCCAGATGTATTAAAGGCTCACATGGGGCTTGCAGTTTTTCCTCCATCATGTCAAAGTTTTAACTCTTGCCCGGCAAACAGGTGTCCACTCTCCTCAATTTTTTTTTTTTTTAAGATTTTATTCATTTATTTGACAGACAGAGAACACAAGTAGACAGAGAGGCAGGCAGAGAGAGAGAAGCAGGCTCCCTGCTGAGCAGAGAGCCCGATGCGGGACTCGATCCCAGGACCCTGAGATCATGACCTGAGCCGAAGGCAGCGGCTTAACCCACTGAGCCACCCAGGCGCCCCAGACTCTCCTCAATTTTTATACTGGAGGGTTGGTAAAGCAAAACTTTCCAGTTCCCAATCTAAGAGGCACGAAGCTTTAAACTAGGAATTTATGGACATTCCCCAAACTATCTTCAATGATCAAGATCAAATGCATAAATAAAATCCTGGCCAATCTGCATGCTCCATTCTTACACACACACACACACACACACACACACACACACACACACAAAACTATTTTTAACCCATGACTGTGACATGCATTTGTTTTTAATAATATCTTAGTTTTATATAACCATATATTCAAGGTCTTTATCATTCAAGGTACATGAAGGTTGTGCATTTAATCTTGAGCATGGTTGTAGGAGATACGATTCACAGAGTAGAGAATAGATAAAAATAAGCATGCACGCAGCAGCATGGGGCCGAATCATCAGAACTCACCATCTTATCAACAAATAGAAGTCATTCTTCTTTATTTCTTGAGCAAAGCAGTTTCATATAAGATAAATAGCTTTCAGTCAGGATAGCCTAACATGCAGTATGCATCTTTTTGACATGTATATTCTAATACTACTTTAGACCGTAAGATGAAAATAAGAAAAATCTCAGGGCTGCGTGTTGACAAGAAACACTGGTTGCATCGGCATTTTCTTCTATTTTTCATCCCCTAGCATTTGGCTCAGTGTGTGTCCATGTGTACATTACGGGCTATTGTTAAATGATCAACTTTTAGTGACCTTCAAATACCATTTTCCAATGTCTTATAAGGGAAATAATTTGGGGGACTCGTACTTTTTTATATCACGCTTTGGAGATACTGTGTTTTGTTTCCAGGGTACAGTAGAATGTGTTTTTAATAGATGTGGGAGCCTGGGTTTAGACTTGTGACCTTGAGAATGCTACTTAGCTACTCTGGTTTTGGTTTCCCCTTCTTGCAAAGGAAGCACTTGGGTCAGATGGTTTTTCAAACTGCACCTAGCTCTCATATATGTTGTTATCTATACGTCATTACTTTTTCACTAACATAGAAAGGAGAGGGGGGATGAGGGAGGGGGAATGAAGAAATTAAGTCGACACTACACACGGACCAAGCCTCCAGCCCTGGACCGATCTTCCTGCTGTGGGTCCAGACTGATCACTGTTTTCATGGCTAAAAACCTTTCTCACCCAGACTCTCTGGCCCTTCCTATCCACCAGCCCTGTTGCAATGCAGCCATAGTTGTCTTGAACCTTGCAGGCAGTAATGTTGTTGCAAGGTTTCTGTTCTCACTTACGTATGAACTTCCACTTTCTGAGATGGAAAACTGAACTGAAGCTCCTGAGAAAGCTGGCACAGTAGAAAACTTCAATTTTCAGATATTCATTGTTCTTTCTATATTTGCCAGTTTGCATGTGTGGAAGAAAGAACTTGGATTTTTATAGCAGACTGCCTCTGATTAAAACTTCAGCTCTGCTACTTAGCTAGCTGTTTTTGGACTCTTTGAAATTCATCTCTGAAATGTTTTCTCATCTGTGAAATGGACAAAATCCCTATATAGATGGTGTTATCGAAGAAAAGCAATGTATGTACAAATGCTCGAAAAATACCCTTTTCCCTCCCTCCACTTCAACATCAAATTATTCTGGAGGGTGTTGACAGTGATACTGCACGTTACCAATTCCAGGAAATCTACAGGGCCTGTCTCTCAGCCTGACATGACTTAGTGCGGAACCACATTTTGAAACGACAAGATGTGAAAGAAACTGCCTCATTTACCCCAGAGATTCTGCTACGTCAGTTTACGCAGATCAGGACTGTTTGGCTTGTACTATTGAGGAAACTGGCTGCCTTCTTACGCTTGACCTTTGTCTGCCTCTGTGACCTCATCCCCCTCTCCTCTCCTCACAACATCAAAGAACGCCCGTGAACGCCTGGACCTAAAATGGGGTAACTTCTGCAGGTGTCAAATTAGCCGTACGTGCAAAAGCTCTTTGGAAAGGACAAAGCTCTATGCACGCTCAAGACAGCGAGTAAGAATAAAGCGCGATGTGGTTTCCAAAAAAGTAAATTTATTCCTGCTAGATAAAAGGCCAGTGCAGAAACACGTGCTGCGTAACTATGCCCATTTTGGAGCATTTGAGACTGGATGTGGGAAAACCTACTGAGAGACAGTCAGGAGGCCTGGGTCCTAAATACAACTTTCCTCCTTGCTCTCCATCTGGGCTGTTATTTGTAGAAAGTAGAGTAGCATCACAAACACCAGTCCCGGCTCTCCACAATTCACTATGTGTGTGAGCTTGGACGAGTCACTTATATCTCCATTTCTCATTATAAACACGGGACAGTACTCTCTTAACTCGCAAAACCATGGAGCACATTAAACAAGATCGTACGTGTAAAGATCTTGGTTCAAAGTTTGACTCAGAGAACAGGTTCAAAAAAGTAGTTAATGATCATGAGTAATATTATTTTTGAACAAGAAAGCTGGATTAGATGATCTGAGTTCTTTTTCTTCTTTAAAAGTCCCTAAATCCCGGGGCACCTGGGTGGCTCAATGGGTTAAGCCTCTGCCTTCGGCTCAGGTCATGATCTCAGGGTCCTGGGATCGAATCCTGCATCAGGCTCTCTGCTCAGCGGGGAGCCTGCTTCCTCCTCTCTCTGCCTGCCTCTCTGCCTACTTGTGATCTCTCTCTGTCAAATAAATAAATAAATTCTTAAAAAAAAAAAGTCACTACATCCCTCTTTCTTCTTACAAAATATTCCTTGAGGAGGTTGGTACGTCCTGAGCTCAGGGTTTCAGAAGCCGGACCAGATTCAGGGAGAGGAGTGTTCATACTGGGCAATGGTAGCGCCAAAAGCTATCCTGTCTTTACAAACCCAGTTAGTAAGTGAATGTGCACGCATTACTCTATCTTCAGTTTATACTTACAAATACAGAGAACCATCTCAGATAATAAAAGTGAGTGCTGAATATTTTTGCAAGCTATTACAACGTTTTGAAAGCATACTATAAACACATACAAGATGTGACTATATGGTAATGAAATGAATTTTCCTGTGTGGTGCGAAGGCTCATTAGCTTAGAGCCATGCTCGGCGCTGTTCTACAAAAGTTGCATATGACATTTCTCACTAATGGCTCATGCTGTCACTAAATATTTGTCTCTAACTCCCTCAGTCTTTGGGAATGCAGACATCCTCTTGTGGATAAATTAATAGCTCCGCAGACTCTAAATAAGATGCCCAGAAAAGTCTCTCCATTTTCTGAGTCCAGGAAGGGAAAAAAGTCCTCTTCCTAATTATAGACTTGACTGGAGTTGTTGTTTCCAAATAAATAAGAAAATACTTATTTTATGGAAAAGAATGCTTGATAGGATTCTCTGTAAACAAAACTGGGGCTTTGTTTTTAATAATTTTACTATTTACATTGAACAGCGATTTTCAGCTAAGGAGAAAAGTAGGGGTGCACACTTACTTTCTTCGTCAAGGAGATTTTCAGCAGCTGATAGTAATCTCATCCTGTCTTCTGGGTTTTTAATATTTAATTCAATGAGATGACTCTCTTTTATATCTTTTAAATCTTCTAGGGTCTCATAACCGTTGAGTAAAAGTGTTGAGGTATATTCCTATAGGGGAGAAAAATATGTATAATATAAACTAGTCAGATTCAAATATTTTATTTTGAGTTCTCTTTAGGTTTAAAGAAAGTGTAGAAGTGCATATGGACACCGAAGGCACCGACAGAACTTTTGCTTAACTTTATTTTACTCTGTACTAGTTCTCCACATATGAACTCTAGGGCATTTATAAGAGTATGTTGGAGAATTGTCACCTTCTGGAAGGACAAATGTAAAGAAGAAATAATTACCTTAAGCCGTGTAGTGCTAAATCATGGATCAATTAAAGAGCGGAATCATTCATCCCACTTGGCATTTCTTCACTTCTCAAATAGCTCAATCGACAAAGCTAGCGTGTCCTTATGTCTATCAATAAAATGCCTCTAAAAGAGTAATTGTAGTAATATTTCTGAATCTACATCTTTTCTTGTTTGCTGGCTTGCAAAAATAATTTACCCTCACTAACGTCTTGGGATAGTTTAAAAAATGAATTTGAAACAGGCACAGAACAATAGACTTAGCATTTGTGAACGTCATTTTATAAACCTAAGGAATTCCAGACTTTCTATTTAATTAGAAGTTTTTATCAAACACTGTGGTTATAAAAGCACTGTGGTTGGGAAAAATATTTTCCCTAAAGTTTTCTCTTCTCAGCATGTATAGTTTGTCCATCATTTGCATCAATATGTATTAATTTAAAATTCACAGGCTTCTGATTTCTGAGTCTGTATGTTATTTACGTAACCTCTGTTCTCTCTAACAGAATAAAAATGCAAAGGGAAGTTGAACGCTTTACAACTTCCTCAAAACTTCCTTCCATTTTACTTGATCATCATTTCAATATCCTTAGTTTTAAGTAATCAGGAATAACTGCCAGCCCCTTTACCACCCCCCCCCCAAATCTAAGTGAGAAAGAGAGAGAAAGAAAAAGTACCACTTCTTTTAAAAATGATGTCTCTTAGGAGCACTGAATTAGAACCAAGAAACCAAAGTCCCCATTCTGACATAACCATTTGATTATGGGTTCTTGAGTAAGTTATTTCACTTCCTTAGACCTTGGTTTTCTCATAGGTCACAGAACACACGAAAAGAAGAAGCAGGTTTGAAACTTGTACTTAATCCAAGCAGTACCCCATCTGGGGTGGGGGCACCAAAAGTAATATAGGAAGGCCTAGGTCATGTGTCTACAGACAGGAGAATAACTAGGTAATTCAGGAGAAACAATTAAGGAAAGTTTAATTGGTTATTGCCTTGATGAGTTTTGAAAACTCTCAAAGTACTGCTGCATTAATATTAGAAATGGATTGCGAAACAGTAAATTGAGTGAGGCTAGGTAAATTGCATGTACACACCATTGAACAAGGTAGATATTTCATAAAAATTTTGCTAATATAACAAGAAAATAATTGGATTATAAATACAGACAACACAATTTCCTTAACATAATCATCATGGGGACTTAATGACCACTATTTCCTAACAAATTGCTTTTGAAACAATTATATTTAGTTATCTTCTCTTGACTTGCTTTTGATCTTTGCCCTACAGAAAATGTAATTTTCTTTCCATATTTTCCTTTCAATTATCTGGATTTTTACCTTTACTCTCATACTCTCTGTATCATTCTCATTTACATGTTTTCTCTGGACCTCTTATTCTCCTAGGTATTTCTCATTTTTCACAGCACTTTCTCAACATTAATCTCTACTGTCACTGCTAAGTACCATTAGAGTTTAGTCCAAAGGAGGTTATATCAAGACCTGTCCTTGTGTAATAAAAGTAATAAAGGAGAAATAAGAAGTCTTCTTGGAAAGCAGATTTTCCTTTGCTGTAAGCCCTATATTTTTTAACACCGATCCTTTCTCCTTAGTTATCCCACCCAGATAGCACCAGAATCAAATAGGTCACAGGTTTGCTAACCTGAAGGTGAATCTTCTCTAGGAACTCCTGCAGAGTCTTGGGTTTTTCCTTTCCAGTCTTTCTGTGTGCCTTTATTTTCTTGGGGGCTGCTTCCTCTTCGGAGATGACATCCACATAAATAAATTTGAAGTTTCCCACCTTATTGTTCAACATCCCTGTCCACATCCCCATTGGCGTTTTGCAGATAATGTCTATGATGTCTCCTTTCTAAAGACAAAGAAATATACCAATCAGTTTTCAGAGAACTTTGGTGCTATGACAATTAGTAGAAAGAATGGAATCACAGAAATTTGAATAATGAGGGAATATGATAAGGGAAGTTACTGATAGCAGAAATAAATCTAAGAGAAAATTTACTTTAAAAGTTCAAGGGAATTATTTGCTAGTAATAAAGAAGAACACTTCAACAAGCTTGAAGAAAAGGTCCTACATGCATTCGATGACATCTTTATGGTTTTGGTATATCAATTTATGAACTTGTATTTGTACGGCACAATGGAATTTACAAAGTACTTTTGCATATAGTGAATCATTTAATGCCCATGACACATTACTTAGGTACATATACAAGGTATCTTTATAATTCTAAATATTATAGAAAAGGAATGTAACATTAAATAACTTCCCAGAGCAACTGGCAATCAGTTGTCTGAACTAAAAAATGATGCCCTCTTCATTCATCTTCTCAAAGCAATAGATATATAGCAAAGCTCAAGCCATCATTCCTGGAGGGGTTCCCACATGGGGAAGGGAAAGAAAAAGAACTCTATCTCTGTCCATGATTCTAGTTCATCTGAAAAACTTATCTACAGTAAAAAAGAAACCATCTAAAGTATTGCATTCCTCTAAAATAACGAAACTATTAGACCTTTGTGCGTCTAAATATGTAACAAAAGTATGTGTGTGTGCACCAAGGACAAATTATGCTACTGAATTATTTTAGAGAAGATAATACTTAGCCTGAGCTTCACAACAGTGTTTGGGTCATAGGATGAAAGAAGCACATTAGGATGGACAAACCAGTTGGTCTTTTTCTTTATTCACATCTAAGACTCTAATTGGCTACAGGCTGCCAGTTACTAGCAAGAGTAGAAAACCCCCATGGTACTTCTTTGTAAAGAAAATTGATTTCTACCCAAATAATAGTGCCTCCATTTAGAAGTCATATTTCTTCCTTTGAGACTTATAATTTCTACCCCAGAGAGGACATTATAGGTTCTGATATTGTTGCCTTTTCAGGGGACTACACTCAAATAAACAAAACATTAAGTCGGCTACTAAAAATGTTTTTTCCTCACTTTCTACGAATGTGTATTCTTCCATCTAAAACACACAATGTATTTTTAATAGTAGGATTCAGTGTGATTAAAAGATCTGATCTTTCTGATTTATGATCATCTGCCTGTCTGACCCTATAAGCTATTCGTCTAGTTCTTCCTGCCTTTAACTGCGGAGAGTTGAATCTGGGCTAGGTGGGATCAGCTAAGCAGACCTAGAAAATCCCCAGAAGCTCTAGGGGAAGTTTCTAAGCATGGGAGCTCTCTGCTGCATCCTTCCTATTATCCTCTAAACTTTTAAAAAAGTATACATTCCAGGAAAGCCCACAGTCACCAGCGAAGACCCAGTTTCATTGCGGATAAGACCTTTGATATAAACAATGGCATTCAATCCCCAGTGGTAACTGTGGGATTCTTATTGTGTCCTATAAGAGCTCTACAAATATCACCTTAGACACCACAAGCGGTGGGGCACTGACATGGTATTATAGGAAAGGCGAAAAGCTTTCCCGAGCCTAAATGTATTCAATTTATTCCCTTCTACACCCTCCCCCAACAGTGGCTACTAGGCTGCAAATATTCCTTCCCCAAGACTTAAACTTAAATTTCAAAGCATTCATAGAAATGACTAAGGAGCTAACTATGGGAAATAACGTTTTCCTCATTCTCCCGCTGAGCTTAGTCTGATTTGTTACAAAAGAAGGGATAAAGAGAAGAGCAGAGTGTCTTGAATGTTAAATAATAACATCAATACTTCATAACTTGTCATAATTGCTGGTTAACACTGGCTTGGTGATGATAGTAGAGAAAAGTCATAATTTCTGTCCTTTTAGCTATACCAGTTTGTGTTACTAAAAGGAATAATTTAACATGTATAAAATACTTCAGCACCAAAACCTTCTAGTTATATGATTGCAACAGCACCTCCCCTCTTGTGTGAGTAGGACCATGAAAACAATGGATTTCACACCCACTATTATGTTGTACTATATGACACAAGGGACTGTGCAGATATAATTAATGTCCCAAATTAGTTAATTTTGTAATTAAGAGGGAGGTTATCTGGGTGTTTCTGACTTTATTAGGTAGGAGCTCTTAAAAATAAAGAGATTTGAAACATGAGTGAACTTTTCTCCTTCAGGCTGCCATGTTGTAGAGAGGACCATGGCTGGCAACCTCCAGGGTCCGAGAATGTCTCCCAGGCAACATCCAGCAAGAAAGCAGGAGCCTCCGTCCTACAACTACAAGCAACTGAATTCTGCCAATAGTTGTGAGTTTGGAAGAGGACCCTGAGCCCCAGGTAAGATTACAGCCCCAGCTGTCACCTTGATTTTAGCCCCGTGAGACCTTAAGCAGGGAATGCAGTTGGGCCATGACTAAATGTTTGACCTATAGAACTGTGAGGTAATGCATTTGTGTTGTATAAAGTCCCTGAGTTTGTGGAAATTTGTTACATGGCAGTAGAAAACGAATATAGAGAATCAGAGGTAAGAAGAGGGAATTCAGGAGGGAATATCACTGGGAGAAAGATGTCTGGTTATTCATAGCCCCCAACTTAAGTACTGAAGTTGCCCAGCCAAGGCTGGTTCCCAAGGGAGTTGCTGTGAGGGGTTCTTGCCTGATAGCGCCATCTTTTCTCTTTCTCCTTCTAATCCAGGAAGTAGCAGGCAGAGCTAGGCACCTCCAGTAACCTGTGAGGCTTCTGGTTTTCAGAAAAATGTAGACAATTTCTTCTCCCCAGACAGGCTCAGAATCTGCATTATCTACATAACAGCAACTTATGCTATAGCCTCAACAGACCAATTCCCCTAGCCCACCTCGAGTGTTTTGTTTTGTTCATATTCTTGCCACAGTAACCCATTCCTGCGTTCTAGTGCTGGGGAGAACACACTCACCGCCCCCCCCCCGCCCCCGTTCCCACTGCTTGTACTTCCTGACACAGACCATACAACCAGTGCTAGACAAACCAGGCAGAATGCAGCTATGACGTGCACACACCTTGATTTTGAGGGAGTCAGTGTCATAGGGGCTTGGTGTAAAATCAGTATGTACTCTGGCTCGGCCACAGAATGGTCCAGAGTAGGGGCCATCATCATCAAGTCGAAAGCTATCCCGGTTACTCGTACCGTCTGAACAGCTTGTTATTCCACCTGATGAAAGCAAAGCAGAGGTTAACAGTTCTCACTGAAGGTTCGTAACATTCTGAACCACCATCTGGATAGAGCTAAGGGGGGGATCATGCTGAAGCACTGGACGCCAACCTTTTGAGGGAGCTCTAAATGATGGATTCCTATTTTTTTCTGACTCCCAGTCACTCTCCATCAGTGGCCTTTGTCCTCTGAGCCATTTCTGTACTTTCTTGAGCCAATCTGACCATTCTTTCCTCAACCACTAACCCAAACACCTTCTCACTTTGGTCTCTGTGATCTGACCCAATAGCAAAGTGTTTTGCTACTTGCTAAAGAGACAAACAATACAGACTTAACTCCTTGTGCAGGCCAGACAATTAATTTTGTACCTGTAAACAAAGACAAAAACCTATAGCAACAGTTTGATCCTTATGTACTACGGATCACAAATGGTCAAAGCATCAGACTACAGGGTTCCCTATTCTTATCACAATGTAGCTAGAGTGCTCTCCCAAACATCCTATTATGTACCAAAAGCCATTTTGAAGTAACATCTCTATGCATAAAAGGTAGCACTTCTGCTTGTGTGAATTTGAAGCAAAGAGAAAGTGTGTTCCCGTGTCTGTCCTTCCTTGTGGTTCTAAACTTTCTAAACTGGGCTTTTTAAATTACTCTGAATCCTTGTTCTCTGGTCCTTTTCCTCCTGAGTTTGAACCTCAAGGGAGAGAAAGAAGAGATTCCATTTTTTGCTGCCTGCGAGAGGCGGGGTCGGGGGTGGTAAGAATGGCTTCCAGTGGAAGTAGCTCTCAGTTTCTCCACCACTCTCACCACTCTCCACTACTTCCACTTTCTTCTTCAGTGAGGCCTCTCAGTGCTCTGTCCAATGATGAAACAGCCCTGGTTTCTCTACTATTTAATCAAATAATTATGGAGATAAGGTAAAGAACCTTAACATATTGAATATGAACCATTGTAAGAAAGGGTGAGTTGCATGTAATCGCAAAAACTAAGTTGTATATGACAACAGATAAGTGGGCCACCATCTCCTTACACCTTCTTTCCATGGCCACCCCTGGCCCTGGCTTTTCATGGTACATCCCAGTTAATAAAATTCTACCCACATTCAGCATTACAATTTAGAATTTTAAAACTTCCAGCAGAAGTGAATACTAATGAAATCTGAATTTCACACATGCAAAAATATATCCTTCAAATGTTTCTACATTAGTTTTTTTTCTCCTTTCTTCACAAAATAACTCTTCTTCAGCCAATAGGAAAAGTAGGAATAAAATTCAGGATATCTGAAACATCTGGTATTTGCGATCTATCTTCAAGTAACAGAAGCAGTTGATTAAAAAGGAAATGGCAAATAAACCTTGCAAAAAAAGAAAACATTTAAAAGCCCTGAAAAGATCAGAGGAATGAATAACAGTGTACACATAAAAAAGTTAAAAGGCCCCCTGCGGTATCAGTAGTTTCTTCCAGATAGCAGGATATGTGACTAAAATCTGAATTACTAAAAACAAACAAACAAAAAACAAACAACAACAACAACAAAAAACCCTGAATTACTTCCTTCTTAGAAACAATGGTTTTAGAAAATCCTTGTTGAACACATGCTGCTTCCTTCCTGTCACCTAACTGGCCATATTCCTTCTATTTAGTATTTACACAGTATTTCATTCTTTACTCACTCATACTAGATGGACACCTAAAAAGTGAATGTGAGAAGTGATGCATATGTCTCTCTCTTTTCAGAATACTTCAGGCAAAAGGGAACAGAAAGGAAGGAAAAAAGTGAGAGGGGACAGGAGAGAGAAAAAAAGAAAGAGAAGAAAGAAACAAAGGAAAGGAGGAGGGAAGAAAGAAGGAAAAAGAGGAGAAGGAAGGAAGAAAGAAGAAGGAGAAAAAAAGGAGGAATAACGAGAAAAGGAAAGGAAGGAGGAAGGGATGGGCGGAACAAGAGACAGAGAACAGGATTTCATTTATCTGAATATGTCAAGTCATTTAAGATTTTGACTCAAGATAATGCTAGTTCTCCTAAGCAAACAATTTTATTTTAGGGATGCAGATTTCGTCTCCCAAGATGATTTTTTTGAGGCATATCCCCAAGATCCCTGCCAACTACAGTGTTAGAAGTTTCAAAATAATACATAATTCTATCAAATATATTGTGTATCATTTTAAACAACAGCAACTCTACGGATTCCGCAATCCTACATTTTCACTATTTTTCTTATCAAGTATCTGGAAACTTTTTGCTAATTTGAAAGCCCCAAAGAAGCAAATCTGTTGTTGTTGGTTTTCATTTGAATTTGTTTCTTTTTTCTTTTTTAATTGTTTTTAAAATGTTAATTCTGGTATTACTAACATATAGTGTTATGTCAGGTTCAAGTGTTCAGTATAGTGATTCAACCCTTCAGTGCATTACACGGTGCTGATCATGGTAAGTGCACTCTTTAATCCCCATCACCGATGTCACCCATCTCCCCACCCACCTTCCCTCTGGTAACCATCAGTTTGTTCTCTGTAGTTAAAATCTGCTGTTTTTAATTAACTTAACTCAGTCCTCCCAGTTACAGTTTCGTCCCTTATTCTGTAGGCTTACTTGATGAACTCTGCCCACTGTAGAGACTATCCATGGAGTCACTGGCTTTGAGGGAGACCTTCTCTGTGTGAGATCCAATCACTGGGTCACTGTTCCGATACGGGAGGGTAGTCTCTCCATCCTCCTCATCCTTCAAAAAAAACATATCAGAGGTTAAGTGCAGAGAACTGATTTCCATGGAGATACTCACTGTGTGCATTGATTTAACAAACAAGACATATTTTAGCAATAAAATACTTAGGAATCCATCAGCATAAAATATGAGAGTCATTAATCTTTAGTTCAATTTCTAGCAAAACATGTTATACTTGGAAAAATTTTTTAGATGAAACACTCCACATTATGGAATTCAAATGAAATCATCATAATTCACTTTATAAGTTAGGATGAATATCATATTGATAGTGCTTAATCAAAAGTGTTAGATTTATTAATATCTATGCTTTATCTGTTAAAGCACTTTTATTTCTTCATGTTCTCCTTATCATCTATTTACCACCATTACTAATCCTTTGAGATCTGATATTTTACAAGTTTAAATTCTGCATCGTTCTTTCATGTCAGTTATTTGCACCTTACCAGATCACTAGATATGAATAAAACATGCACATTTTGCAATTCTAAAGCAAAGCTTATCTAAGAAGCTTTACAAATCTCATACCAAGCTTGCACACCTAGTCAAGTGAAAAGCAAATCCTGCATAAGATTAGGAAAGATAGACAATTTCAAAACAAATTACATCTGCTTGAAAACATCTCAAATGTCTTCCATATTTAGATAGTTTGGACAAAACCTATAAATTCCTTAATATTCACCAAAATGTAATTCAATATTCCTCATTTATGAGCATTTCTAAACATTAATAAAACTTCAGAATACATACATGATATATACTCAGTTTGATTCTCTCCTTTTATCCATTCCTTTATTCATTTGCTCAGTCATTCAACACAAGTTTAGAGAACACCTTCTAAGTACCTGACACTGTTTTGGGAACTGGGGATACCTTGGTAAACAAGATCACAGGGTCCCTGCTCTAATAAGATAAACATTTTAGTGTGTTAGGGTTTGTGTGTGTGTGTGTGTTAGTGTTTGGAGATGTGTGTGTAAACAAACGCAAAAGGAAATTTCAGGGAACAAGTGCTATGAAGGAGATAAAACTGAGCGATGTGAGAGGATTAGCTGCTAGGATTAGGGTGGGGGGAAGGTTAGCTGATTTCGATGGAGTAGCCTCCAAAGACCTTCGCTATAGGGTAATATATGCTCTGAATTCTTGACTCTGAATTCTGACCTTAAGATGTAACTTTTATGAAGAACTGGAGGCAGTTTTCCAAGCAAAAGGAATAGCAAGAACAAAATAACTCAGAATTAGCTTGGCTTATGAGTGGAAAGACCAAGTCAAGGTAGCTGGAGCTGAATGAGATCAAAGAGAGTGTCATAAAATGAGCTCAGAGGGGTGCTTGGGTGGCTCAGTCGGTTAAGCATCTGCCTTCAGCTTGGGTCATGATCCTGGGGTCCTGGCATCAAGCCCCATATCAGGGAGCCTGCTTCTCCCTTTGCTGCTCCCCCTGCTTGTTCTCTCTCTCTCTCTCTCTCTGTCAAATAAATAAATAAAATCTTAAAAAAAGAAAGAAAGAAAGAAAGAAAGAAAGAAAGAAAGAAAGAAAGAAAGAAAAAATAAGCTCAGAGTAGAATGGAGCCGGATCAGTAAGAGCTTTATAGACCATGTGTGGTGGTCATGGAATGTGTCACTCAGATATTTTGCTGTGAGACCCTTCTTTACAGACAGCCCCAGCTACTAAATCCACCACTGTGCATAGAAGCCATGCTCTCTGCCAATGACTGAAACAGTGAGGGCACCATTTGAGTCCATTCTGGTGGGATATAGGGTTCCTCTAATGGAAAACTTTGGTTCAAGGACTATCTGCCAATCTGGCTAAAGCTTTCTTCTTTCCCAGGTGTCAAACTTGCACTGTTGTCAGAAGGCTTTCCCTATCCAGTTCTTTATCTATCCTTCATGTTAATTTTCCCCAATAATCTTTGGTGTGTCCTTTGCTTTCTTAGGATCTGTTTCTCAAAGGACTGGAATGAACATACTGTAGTAAGTGAAGGCATTGTGAAGGCATTGTAAAACTTTAAGCAAGGGGCATGATGTGTTCTGAAATTCCACTTAAGATCTTTCCAGCTTCTTTGTGGAGAATGGCTTTTATGGAGGAAAGGGTGGAAGAAAGATGACCAATTAGGTGGTTATTATGGCAGTCTAGGCAAGAGAAGTTGTTTTTGGTTGGTTGGTTGATTGATCTAAAAGTAGGAATAGTTTACATAGAGAAATTGTGGGTTTTAGATAAGATTTTGGAGTTTGAGCCAATAGAATATGCTGATGAATTGGTGTGAAAAGTGAGAGAAAAAAAGCAATTTGGAATGATTCTTAGGCTTTCCTCTTTCTTTACTTCCTTCCTTCCTATCATCCTTCTTTTCTTTCCTTTACTTCTCTGTTCTATTCTTTCCTTTTCTCTTCTCTTTTTTCCTTCCTTGCATCTAGAGTTATGGCAATTGTTATCTATCGCTACTGGGAAGACTAGACAAGAAACATGTGTTTTTGGTAGAGCATAGAGAATTAATAATTCAGTTTGGGATATACTGGGTCCCAGATAACTATTGTACATATAAGTGATGATAATGAATACACAACTGGTTGTTCAAGTACAACGGATAAGATATCATAGCTAGAGATGTAATTGCAAAAAACAAAGTGATGAGACTAGATGAGATCACTGAGGGGAAGAGTAGACTGAGTAGAGCATCTAGGAATAAGCCTTGGAAGGACTCAATATTTAGAGACAAGAAAGAAGGCAAAGCCAAGAAAGGAAACTCTGAGGAAGAAAGCCAGAAGAATGCCTGTTAAAGAAACCAAGAAAGAATGTTTCAAATGTATTGAAATAATCACTTGTGTCAAATACGTTGAAAAGTAATGTAAGAAGTAAGAAAAGCGACCAGTAAATTCAGCAACACAGAGGTTAATACCAATTATGACTCCTGTTTTAATGAGTTATTGGGGATGGAAGTCCTAGTGGGTTAAAAAGTGAATAGACTAAGACTTACAGATCAATGTAGCAGAATTGAGAGTCAGAAATAAACCCATGTATTTATGACCCATATAATTGTGACCATGTATTTATTATTAATTGATTTTCAGCAAGGGTGCCAAGAAAAGACAATAGTAAAATAATTGACCTTTTAACAACTTTTATGACAACTTGATATCCATATTTGAAAGAATGAAGAGGGACTCCTATTACACTCCATAGAAAAATTAGTAGATCATACACCAAAATTTAAGAGCTACAACTGTGAACTCTTAGAATAAAAACACAGGAGTAAATCTTTGTGAACTGAGATTAAACAATAGTTTTTAAACTATAATATTAAAAGCTCAAATGACAAAATATAGATAAATCAGGCTGCATCAAATTATAAACATCTGTGCTGCAAATGATACCATCAAAAAAGTGAAAATATAATCCACAGAATGGGAGAAAATATATCATATTGCAAATCATATATCTGATAAGGTACTTGCATCCAGTATATATTTTTAAAAAGCTTAAAAGTCAATAAAAAAAACCCCAAATAACCCAATTAAAAAATGGGCAAAAGGCTTGAGTAAATATTTTTTAAAAATTTTATTTATTTATATGACAGACAGAGAGAGTGCAAGCACAAGCACGGAGAGCTGGAGGCAGAGGGAGAGAGAGAAGCAGGCTCCCCTGCTGAATAGGGAGCTTGATACAGGGCTCTATCCCAGGACCCTGGGATCATGACCTTAGCTACTCAGGTCCCCCCGAGTAAACATTTCTTTAAAGAAGATATACAAATGGTTCATAAGAACACAACAAGATTCTCAACATCATTAGTCATTAGGGAAGTGTAAATCAAAGCCACATCGAAATTCTACTTCACAACCACTAGTAATAGGAAGGCTAGCATCAAAAAGACAGTAACAAGTGTTGGCAAGCATGTGGAGAAATTGGAACCCTCACACGTTGCTAGTGGGAATGTAAAATGATACAACTGCTTTGGGAAGCAGGTTGCCAAGTTCTCAGAACATCAGATAGTTACCATATACCAGAGAGAAACAAGAGTATTTCCACACAAAAACTCCTAAATATTTATAGCAGCATTATTTACAATAGCCAGAAAGTGCAAACAACTCAAATATCTATCAACTGATGAAAGGAAAAATAAAATATAGTTTATATATAAAATGGAATATTATTTGGCAATAAAAAGAAATGAGGTACTGATGTTTGTTACAACATATGACATAGCATTCTCCACATACTACATGTGTGATCTTTCTGAGCCTCCATTTCCTCTATTAACATAGGAGTAATAATGCTTTTTTTTTCCTATCTAGTTCCTGGGCACAATTATTAAGGGAAAAAATAGACGTTGAAGTCCTTCCTAAAGGACCGAGTAATTCTATGTCTAGAAGAATCTGTTGGCTATTTTAAGAAAAAAGTTAATAGAAAAATACAAATGATTGGCAGAGTACACTTACCTTTTCCTCAGAAAGGGCTTTGACGTACTTTTTGCCCACTTTTTTCTTCATTGTCCAGGAAATAACTCTCATTTTTTTCCCTAATCCTCCTCCATTATTCGAAGTTTTATTTTGTTCTCCACTTTCATTTATGGGTTCCCCTTCATATACCTAATTAGAATTGTTAACAAAAGACAGAATAATAAAGCAATAAAAATCATTGTTCTGAAAACATTATTAAAGTGAAGATTCCGAATTTGTGGGCTTCCTATGTATTGTGTATAGCAGCCTCCAAACTTCAATATGGATAGAATACATATTTTTAATGTTGTCCAAGCCTGGTGCCATGTGTTACAAACTCAGAAAATAAAACTTGTGATGTTGAAGGACCTGAGCTTCACATCTAAAAATTTTTAAAAGAATTTTAGTTATTCTTTAAATAGCTGTACAGTGGAGCCACTTTTCCCACTTAAAAAAAAAAAGATTTTATTTATTAATTAGAGAGAGAGACAGTGCTGGAGAGAGAGAAGAAGCAGGCTCCCCACTGAGCAGGGAGCCCAAAGTGAGTCCACCCCATGACTCTAGGATCATGACCTGAGCTGAAGGCAGACGCTTAACCATCTGAGCCACTCAGGCACCCCAGTTTTCCCCATTTTTGAGATGGGCAAAATAGAATTAAATCATAAGCATAATGAGTGAGTAAGTCTACATAGATGGGAGATATTTTATTGGGGGCTTTAGAAAGGCTATAGTATGTATTCATGCTGAAGGGGCATTAAAATATCCTCTTGATTCTTATATAAATTGAAATGGTCATTTTTTAAAAAGTTTTGGAGTTAAGTAAATCCATTGAGGAAGTGCAATGTTTTCTTCTTGCAGGTGAGTATCCCATGCATATTTCCCACATTCTCAAGCAACAGTAATTATGAACATGGTCTAGCCATTAGTATAGAAATGAGCATGTAATTCACATGTAATATATTCTAAGTATTTAACATTACCTGATACAAAGTTTGTTTGTTTGGTTGATTATTGCCTGCATCTCCCACGATAAATTATGCTCCATGAGCTTAGAGATTTTATATTTTTTATTTATCCTGCATGTCTAGAACACTTCCAGGAATATCATTGACACTTGATATTTTTTGAATAAGCAAAACTTCTCATATAGAAATTTGGAGTGATTCTTTTTCTTAAAGGACTTACTTGGGTTCTATATCCTTAATATCTTAGATTTTAAGAAAGGACTTTTAAGGGTCATCTAGTCTAGCATTGCCCACCATTCTTGATGGATGGACAGAGAGACATTTCCTGAATATTAAAAAAAAAAATTAGGGGAAACTTCTATTTAGTTAACTTGAATAGTTTATTTTTATTGTTGTTATATTAAAGATTTACTTATTTATTTTAGAGAAAGAGAGCATGCATGGGGGGGGAGGGGAGGAGAGTCTCAAGCAGACTCCCCATAGGCCCAGCATGGGCTCAACCTCACAAACCTGAGATCGTGACATGAGTCGAAGTCAAGTCAGACGCTTAACTGACCGAACCACCCAGGCTCTCCTTGAATATTTTAATATGAAGGTTTAACCACATAGTTAACAAAATTATTTTTTTTTAAATTTTATTTATTTATTTCACAGAGAGAGATCACAAGTAGGCAGAGAGGCAGGCAGAGAGAGAGATAGAGGAGGAAGCGGGCTCTCCGCCAAGCAGAGAGCCGATGTGGGACTCGATCCCAGGACCCTGAGATCATGACCTGAGCTGAAGGCAGAGGCTTTAAACCACCGACCCACCCAGGTGCCCCTAGTTAACAAAATTATTAATCAATATTATTTTTTACTTCATATCTTACCCCAAATTGCCTGTGATAAATATGAATGGACAGCTGATTGAAGTCCTCATTGAACTTTATTCATTTCTACATTTAAGGTTATAAAAGGCAAAGATTCTTTGCTTAACAAAAGCCCTGAATAAAATATAACTTGGAAACCCTTTAAATTTTTAAAGTTAGCTTTTTTCTTCTCTATTCTTTCTATTTAAGCTCTATCTTCCCTGTAAAATTATAAACTAACCCCCCCAAAAGAAAGTGTATTATTTTATTATTATCTGTGTTAAATTACCATTGCCTAAGCTTCAAAAAAGTATCACAGATATTTTTTAAAAGATTTTTATTTATTTATTTGACAGAGACAGAGAGAACAAGGTGGGGGGTGGTGGGTGGGCATGTAGAGGGAGAGGGAGAAGCAGGCTCCCCACTGAGCAAGGTGCCCAATGAGGGAATGGATCCCAGGTCTCTGGGATCATAACCTGAGCCAAAGGCAGAGGCTTAACCAACTGAGCCACCCAGGCCCCCCAGTATCACAAATATTTTAAATTTTAAGTTTCTCTATCATTTTTTACAGACATTTCAAAGAAACTACCTCAGCATATTTTCAACTTTCACATTTTTCTATGCTGTTCTCTTTCATAATCTGTCTCTCCCTCTATACTCTCGGCTTCATGAAGTAGGGATTTTCATCAATTATTACAACAGTAATTTCTGAGTACCTAATGGAAATCCTGTCATAGAGTAGGTCCTCAAGAAATACTAGTTGAATGAATGAATGATGCATTGCAAAAAACGTGTGAACTACATTTTCAGGTTTGTTAAATTCTTTCACAAATTACTAAGCCACCATTACTAATAAATGAACCTGAGTGAACCTGAGCTACTTTTACAGGTTAACCCTGAATTATAAACTAAATAACAGATTCTACTGTGTAGAATCTACAGTCTATATGTGATTATGGAAAGGTAAAGATTTATGTAACATGTTAATTGAAAATTATATAGGGTTTCTCACTATTTATATACATATATTATCTTATTTAAAACTAAACAAATGTGGATAGACTATATAGCTATTTACAAGTTTAAGCATGTGTATATAAATATGTAGATGGATAAAAGGGGATATAAATAACATGCATATGTATAAAAGGGGATGTATTATACACACACGCATGTAAGTGTACTAATGGATGTATTTGTAAAGTAATACTAGATGTCATTTTGTTTTCATTTCTTTTGTTTAGAATAGCCATTACTGAAATACCAATATTTAAAAATATTATAGGTATATACACACAGGAATCTGAAAAGTATATTGAGAAATTATACCAGGAAAAATTTTTTATAAAAAATAAAACATATAATAATGAGAATGAATAATTAAGAAATACATGAGATCTAAAACCTATTGGTCTAAAATGTATCACATGTGGAGTTGCTGAATCAGGTTCAATGATAAACACGTAGTTTTAATTTTGTCTATATATATATACACACACACACACACACACACACACATATATATATGTGTGTGTATATATATATCCCTCCTCCCTACTATTTGATCAGGTGTCAAACCTTTCATTAATCACATCACAGTTGGCCTGTGGTTTGTGAGATAGTGTAACAGAAATGCAAACTTGGAGTTAGACAAGATGTTGAGTTCTGCCTTTGTCATTTATTAACTGTGTGATTTAGAAGTAATTTTATTTCTTCATTGGTAAAATAATAATACTAATAGTTCCTGCATTAGAGGTAGGTAAAGTCTTTAGCGTTGTTCCTGTATCATGGTAAGTGTTCAATTAAATGTAGATACTATTATTATTACCATTATTTTTATATAGACTTCATTTTATGGGAAGCTTTCCTTAAGCTACATTTGAAGTGTTCCTGGTTTGCAAACGTGGGTGTAATAGTCACCTATGAGGCATTTCAATGCATATTGCAGAAGTTCGAGTGCAATTGAGCGACATATGCTGTCCTTGACAAATTTACAACTAAGCCATTTAATCATTAAATTAAATTAATGCAATTACCATTTACATAAAATTTAATATATATATTTATGGTAGAACTGCTCAGAAAATTTGGGGTTATTTGTGTTCCTTTAAATCTTAACTCTCTTCTTAAGTTCATGTTCTGCTTTTCCTAGTGTTAGGCTTCTTAGAGAGCTTTTTACTTTTAATACCCACCATGGTAACTAGGTACTAAGTAGTTCTTTGTTCCTTTATTACAAAAATATAGGCAAGACTGTGATTTTTAAATATACTTTTCTTACGGTATTTTGCAAAAGTGATATTGACTTCATAAATTTTCCTAATGTGCTTGCATAACATTCATAAAATTGTAATAAAATACTAACCTCAGTTGAATCATCTGGTTTTGAAATGGAATTATTCCGAAAACGATCAAAATTCCCAAAACTGCTGCTGCGCTATAAAATAGGAAAGGAAAGGAAAGGACATTTAGGATTTGTGACTTTCACTGAAAAAATTGCTAAATATATTAGATTATGGCTCCGTAAGCATCAGTATATTTGCAAATATAGGATTAAAAAAGCTCTTCTCTCTGGAATATCTAAAGGCATTGAAGGTATAACTATTATTATTATTTTTTAAAGATTTATTTATTTATTTATTTGACAGAGAGAAATCACAAGTAGGCAGAGAGGCAGGCAGAGAGAGAGGAGGAAGCAGGCACCCTGCTGAGCAGAAAGCCCAATGTGGGGCTTGAACCCAGGACCTGGGATCATGACCTGAGCCGAAGGTAGCGGCTTAACCCACTGAGCCACCCAGGCGCCCCGAAGGTATAACTATTATTAACATTACAATATTTACAGTTGACAAAATGCCTTCATAAGTTTTATGTTATAGTGTTTAGAACCTTGAAGAAAATCTATTAAATTATTTTCAATTTATAGTGTTATGTCTGCTCTTGGGAATGGCAGCTGAAGAATCTATGAATTCTAAGCTAAGCCTTCTTGAAGCGAGCTAGCCCCAACTAATTTCCACGATGGGATGACATGTATTACTAACCAACCAAGTAATAAATAACAACGAAACAAAAAATCTGAGTAGAGCCACCACAGTATGCCGCATAAAGATCATATTTGCCAAAAAAACAAAAATGAACACAAATCCATTTATCATTGATAACATAATAATTTGAGACTTTCTACTTGGTGTCAGAGAAGGCATACACATAGAGCTATTAATAAATTGAAAGCAGCATTTAGGCATGCCCAGTCTAAGGTTGGAAGTAAAACTGAATTTGTCCACACTTAGCATGGAATTACAATGAGACCTCTGGGTCAATTTCATTCACTGGTTTTGAGAAAAAGCTCAATATGTTAATAGAAGACTTGTTCCCTTGGATACTTTCTGCCTACAAAGCTAAATTTTTATTCTTATGTAACTCATTCTAGGCAGGTAATTATAAATAATTCCTCATATGTTACAGTAAATGATTCTCCTAAGTACATTCTCAATAATCTTTAGAGTCATTGAGTAAAAAAAAAAAAAGAAATGGCTATTTCTTCACTATCTGTTTAATTTTATACATTGTTTGGAGTGGTGGATATCTTGATGTTGTGTCCTTTATGTAGACATAAATCCCAAGAATATGTTCTAGCTCAAGAACTTAATTTCATTCCAAGCTTACAATATTTTCAGAATAAGCTGCTGGTACTGAAAAATAACCTGGTAATTTGAAAAGTTAACAAAGGGAGCCAGCAATTTATAAAACCGTGTCTTGTCCTTTTAGAAGCCACAGCCCCGTTCAGTGCAAGTCAGCTTGAAAGCCTCGTCCTTCTTACAAGCACTCCTACAGTCTTGTTTCTCCACCAGCTATCTTTAAAACTCCTTGTTTCCCTTTTAAATGAGCCGAAATAAAAAGATCCTGACGTGTGACAAGGGGTTAGCTTGATAGACGGTGTGATGCGTAATATCGCCCCAAGGATGATGGCTGTGTTAGACACAATTAACGCCTTTTGCTGACTCGCCACCCCTGCTGAACAAGCCCTTCAGCTTGTGGCGAGAAGACAGAAAGAGTAGGGCTGAAACTGAGAACCACACTGGAAAATACTAAGTCTTCCCGGGCAGGGCTTACTAACCTAGAATGACTTCCCAGAGCCTTAACCGCGTTAGCTCGCCTAGTAGGCATTTCCATGAGGCCATCATGGCCCAGAGATCACAAAAGGGAATTGGTTGTACTGTTGTCCTGCTTATAAACAATCTGAACCCAGGGAAATCTGTTACTCTTTTATATACTCGAAACATTCTGATGGCCTATTGGAGCCTATTCCTGGGGCAATTTGGCCACTTTGCATCCAGCCTGCGTCCTGCCTATTAAATATTAATGAGGGTTACGGCATGATTTCCACCACTGGATAATGGGTCCTATTGCCCAGGAGGGCACAGAATAGGCTCACTTCAGCATTTCTCAACACTATCTTCTGCCATTAAGTAATCAATAGTCACCACCTCTTAAAATTAATTCTCCCCTCATTATATCAATAAAGAGCAGCAGTGGTTTAAGAAGTCTTTAGACTATTACTTTGGGTTTTCTCAGTCATCTCACTGTGAATCACTCAACAGCTTTAAACCAAAGGAGTGTAATATCAATCCATGATAAGACGCCGTTAAAAAGCAAATCTAAGTATTTAAAATGATGTTTTTAAAATTTCATTATTCTCTAGTCTAAAAGTTAGTGACTTTCTGAGATGGTTTCATAATGTATAGGTTATGGCTTACGATGAAAAGGGCTAATGTCTACTGTGAGGTATGCACAACGAACAAATTTATAATTTTACTCCTGTTAAGTTTTCAATGAAAAGGTGAATCATGTGGAAGCAAGCTGGCTTCCTAGATATTACCCCTTTATATAAGAGAATGTGTTTGAATATCAATAATTTTGCATCGTCTAATCATAATGGATTAGATTTGGCAAATACTATCTTGTGACAGAAGCTCTCATCAAGACAGAGTTGTTCTATGAATGAATAGCTATCAACGGGAAGGGTAACTTAAATAAAAATGCAATTAGTATTTTAGATAATTCTTTGTATCTGTTGACATTAGATCATATTTAGTCTTTAATTCTACTCTCTCTATATTTATACAGCCTTTCCTTGTGCAATTAAATATGCATTTGTGAAATAGCACATTTGTGGAGGGTAATTTGGTGAAATTAGTAAAATTATATATGTATTTGCCCTTTGACCCAGCAATTCCATTCCTACACATCTGTACCAGAGACACACACTTGGCTGTAAACTGACTTACGAATCCACATTCACTATAAAACTTCTATATTATAAAAAAGCTGTAAACCCTAATGCTCATCGAAGGGGCTGATTGAATAATGCGTGGTAAAGCCAAACAATGAAACAGTGTGTAACTACATAAAGTTGAAATGCATCTCTTTATACTTCCGCGGAATGATCTCCAGGATATGGTAGAAGTGAAAAAAGCCCAATGTATGTAGAGAAAAATGTACATAGTAGGATGTCATTTATCTAAGGGTGGAAATAGATGTTTGTGTTTTAATATAGGTGAGTACATATGGGGCAAAATGAGCAAAGTGAAAAAGGAGAGGAAACAGACTTCTTTGAATAGACCTCCTTTTCTAGATTTGGCTTTAAAACCATGTAACTTTTACTTATTTTTAACAGAATTAAACAAAAATAAAAAATGATCCCTAAAAATTCTAAATAAAAATCAAACAAATGAACCTAATCCTATATTGAATTTGTGGCTTAGAGAGAGGAATTATTTTAAATGACTTTTAAGAACCATGATTTGACTATCCCAAGCACAAAAAACAATGACAAATTAAATTTTAACCTGTTTTCAGTAATCATATTTTTATTAATAATACTGACATATATATATAAATACATATGTTGAGGGACCATAAAAATAAGTAATGATGTTAATGACATTGGAGTTAAGGTTCTCAGCCAAAATTCTCATATTGTTCATGGCATAGAGCAAGTGGTCTTTTAAAGACTACTATGTCTTTGAACTTAGTACTACTAAGTACTAGTAGTAGTACTAGTACTACTAAAGACTACTAAGCCCCTATCAAAACAACACAGGGGCCATATTGAAACTATTCTCACTGGAGTAGATTGTATCCAAAGGTGGGATAACTTTCATATCAATAAGAATAATAAATGAATATTGAAATGCATCTAATATATGAAAGTTGGTGAGTTCATGATACCAAAAGGAAAAAAAAAATCAGTGATCACTTTTGGAAACATTACAGTTATATCATGAAAACTGGCAAATAAAGGAAAGGACATAAGCATTCGAGGTGCTCTTCTTTTATGAAACATATTTCAGAGTAAATAGTTAATGAGGAAAAATTATCTTTTTCTGTGTGTGTGTATATTCAAGCTAATCAGTTAGGAATGATGAAATGACAAAGTCACTGTTTCATAAACCCCTGATGGCAATAAAGGATCTCGGTGATGATCCTTGATGGCTACAAGAATTACAAAAAGAGACAACTAGAATATGGGCTTCCTAGTAGTAGGACCTAATATCACCAGTGAGGCAGTCTTAGGGGAAAAAAAAAGCGCAATCACACCAAACTTCTGTATGTAACTACTAGATTATAGGAAATATAGGAACAAAGGAACATTTTATATGGCACCAAAAGGATGCAGTCAATCAGAAAAATCTAGACAGTAAGAAAATCTACGGGACAAATAACTAGGTTTCTTTGACTGATCGATAGAAAGACTAAGAACCTCTAAGAGGCGTCTAACCAAATACAACTCATGGATCTTGTTTAGATATAGATCAAAGAAACCACTGTAGCAAAAGCAGCCAGGACACAACTGAGGAAATTTTTAAAATAACTAGCTATTTGATGATATTGAGGAAGTACTGTTATTTTTTACTTATAATTCAAGATAACCTAATGCCAGTGTGTGGGCATGAAGAAGAAACATGGCTGGCCATTATTCAATGGTTAACTGGGTGATGGAGATATGAGGTAGATTGTACTACTCTGTTTTTTTTTTTTTAAGATTTATTTATTTATTTGATGGAGAGAGAGAAAGAGAGAGAGAGTGTACCCACACAAATGGGGGGAATGGCAGAGGGAGGGGAGAAGCTGGCTCCCCACTGAGCAGAGAGCAGGATATGGAGCTTGATCCCAGGACCCTGGGATCATGACCTGAGTGGAAGGTAGACGCTTAACCACTGAGCCACCCAGGCACCCCTGTACTACTCTGTTTTTGCATATGCTTGAAGTTTCCCATAGTATAATGTTGGGCTAAAAAAAAAAAAAAGGAAAGATAAACATACCTATGTAGTATGTAATAAATAAGAGTTAATCATGTGCAGGGGCTGGGAGGTACACGGAAAAACTACTTTTCTCTTAATTTTGCTGTTACTCTAAAACTGTCTAAAAAATAGTCTT